TCGACCCTTAGGTTTAGTCTGACCCACATAGGTCACAACACACTGATTCTTTAAAATTTCTAATTTCATTCTACATTTTAATTATTTTTCCTAACATACCTTTACTTTATTTTTAAAGTTTCAATTATACCTTTAAACATTTTGCATTATTCCCTTTTCATCCCGAAATCATTAAATTACTATTTTGCCCTGAATCTTTTCTTAAAATTTCATGTGTCCTTAAATGACTATTTTACCCTTGGACATTTTCGAAAATTTTTTCCATATCCCAAAAATGACTATTTTACCCTTAGACATTTTCAAAAATTCATTCCATGTCCCGAAAATGACTATTTTATTTACCCTTGGACATTTTCAAAAATTCCTTCCATGTCCCAAAAATGACTGTTTTACCCTTGAATATTTTTGAAAATTTCATTTATGTCCCTAGGATGTAAAATGACTATTTTACCCTTGATCATTTTCAAAAATTCCCCTCTTATCCCTTTCTTCAACCTTACATCCTGTAACTATATCAAATTTTGGAGATTTCCAATTTCTCAGTATCAGACAACCAAACTTGTTCAAATTCAAATTAAACATGAACTATGTTCAATTTAAGTCAAAAACAACAATTTTACCATATAATTCATCCTTAATTTCAAGAATTTCAAGAAAATTTCAAACTTTTCAAACATGAAGAAATATTTAAAAGCAGTTGTTCAATACTTCAGATTTTCACTCCTATTCCTTATTAACAGAGTACCCAACAATTTAGTCTCATATATTGAATGAATTAAACTTCCCCTTACCTTGTGTATTATTTCTACCAAAACTTTCCCACTTAATCCAAACTCTCTCCCGTTTCACCGGATCCCGCACGGTAGAGTATCGTTTGCTTGAAATTTAGACGAAAGAAGAATAAGAACGAAAAACGCGTGATATGGAAGGAAAAATTTTCTTGTTGTAATCATTCCTCCCCTTCGTACATATATAGAAAATTGGCGTGCATAGAAAATTTCACTACGAAATTTTTGCACATTAGTTTTTGCACAATAATATTATTATAATATATATAAAAAACATACGTCATAAATATAGTTATTAACGTTTTACTATAATTTTATAGAATAAGGAAGGGATTGGGTGGGGTTAAGAATTTTTTTTTAATTTACAAAACATTTTAAAGAAGTAACATTGATGTTTCGAAAAAAAAATTAAAACTATTTTATGTAAATACAATCATTTTAATGTTAAATTATTAAAACAATAGAAAAATAATATATAATTATACAATTATTTCATTAATAATTGGTGGTGGATAAACAATCTCATTTAGTAATGATTATAATAATTTACTTTAATTTCAATTATAGATTTATTCAAATATTGATAAGTTATGATAATAATTTTGGAAAAAAGTATTTATTTTAATTTATATAAATAAACTTATATAACTATTTAAATATTGGTCGACTCTACCAGTAATTGTGATAAACAAAAACGTAATAAAACATATTATAATATTTGTGATTTAAATAAAATAAAATTTGAAAATATTTTAATTATATAATTATATAATTATATAATAATTTCTTATTAAATATGTTTAATTCGTAATAAATAATTCTTTAGTAATTTATTTAATTTCAATCCTTTAAATCTAAATTTAAAATTTTATGCATTATTTTTAAATTAAATTCTCATTATTATTTTTTTCTAAATAAAATATATGTTTTTAATTAAAAATTAATATTTATGAACAATTTTTTATTTTTAAATCAAATTTTTCATACTAAAAATGTATTATTGTAATGAACATTCTAATTTACATCGAGTTTATGGTGTTTAAAGGTATTTAATAGTTTATAGATAATACTTTATTATTGAATAAGATAATTACAACATATTTAATTAATATAATATTTTTAGTGTCTTGAATTTGCAAAAAATTAAATCTTCAATGTTAACTTTTTAACTTGACATACCACATATTTTATAAAACTTAATTTTAAAGTTTTAATATATGTTAATATTTTATATTTATCTTTTATTTTAAAACATATTCTTAATATAATTAATATATACTATAAAATAATAATATATTAAATACACATTTATATAAAATTATTTTTATATTATATTGAGAAAACAAAAAATCATGTAACTTACAATAAACAGTAAAAGTTTAAATAATATTATTTACGACAAATTTTGTGACAAATTCATAAAAAAAAATTTACCAAGAATATTTATCCGTCACAAACATATCACATAATTTGTTGTTTCTTCACAATCTTATTAATTTTACTTAAATAAAGTTAATATTTTAAATTTATTTGTGATAAACCTTTCTATCTCAAATATTATCAATAACATAATTGTTTTAAAATTTGTAATTCCATCTATGAAAGAATATGTATCAATAAAAAATTTCCGTCACAACATACAACGAAAATCTGTTTGTTATAAATTAAATACGTTTGTCACAACATTCCGTTCGTGACAAATTTGATTTCATTTCAAACGTTCCTCACAAATTTTTTTTTCTCGTAATAAAATTATTATCAATATTATTATATTTATTAAAAAAAATCATATCTTCTATATATTTTTGGCTTAATAAAAATTATCTTTTGCTCTCAACTATCTCTAAATATAACAAAAAATTAAAGTTACATATTTTTGTAATAAATATTTTTTATTGATATTTTAAATTTTATTACATTTATAGATTCTTTTATAATTTGTAACTCTCACACAAGTATCCGAAAAAATAAATTATTATAATATATCATTTTCATGCTTATTAATATTATATAACATTTTACTTTTATTGTAGAAAATTACTTTAAAATAATAAATGTTAAATATAAATTAAAGAAAACGTCACATACTATTAAAACATATTCTATCTTAAATGTAATAGTTTTTAGTAGTTATATAGTTTATAAACAAAATATCATCATTATTATCATAAAATCTTGATTAAGTTTAGAAGAAATATTTAAAATATCAAATTGTCACAACTTATATTTTTTAAATATAAAAAAATTCAGAAGATGACACACTTAATTCTTACAATTGATGCGAAAGTTAGTTGGTGGCAAAAAGAGAGGATAACGATGTAGTGTTGAAGAATGATGTGACATGAGTCCATTTTAGAGAATGTATAGTAAGTGTTTGAGAAAATGTTTTAGTTCAATTTCTAAATGAATGTAACTTCAAAACTACAAAACATTTGTCACTGGATATCATTGAATCCAAATAAAACTAATAAGACTACAAATTACAGCCCCAACCCAAATAAAAGAATACATCAAAATAAAACTAATGTTCTAAGGAAAAAAAAAGAGAGAGATATGATATGACGATGATCAAGAGGTGATGGATAGGTCATGCTTTTAGTAATCTTCACCAACTCCTTCATTTGGTCTTATGAATAAATAATTATTTTGTCTTTTAAATTATATTAATTTATTTTTTTAATAATAAACATAATAAATTATAAATTGAATTATTCTATATATATAAAATAATAAATATTTATAATTATAAGTAATAATTATTTATGAATTTCTTAATTATTATTTATAGAACCAATAATAATGAATAAAGATTAAAAAATCATTTTTTAAACAGATTTAGTTTGATAGAATAATTCAAAACACTTGAGAAATAAATTAAGTTAGACAAAAAAATTGATAATTTAAATTGAATAAGACCTATTTTGCTTTAATCCGTTTAAGTAATGTCCTGTATAAATATAAGTCAGATTAGTTATACGTTCATGGTCAATTTATTTTATAAAATAATAAATTATTTTTTAATTAAAAATAATAATATTATTATTTTATTAAAAAATATTTATATATTATAAATTAATTTAATAAGGGATTCACTTATCTTAAGAATAAATATTCTTTATCAATCATTTATTTTAAAATATAATTATTAAAATAAATTATTATTTTAGATTAATAAATTATTAAAAAATAAATGATGATAATGAAAAATAAGTTTTTAATTTTTATTTTGAGATTAAATAAATTCTTTTTCTTGTAATTTATATATTAAATAAAAATTAATTTTATTATTATAATTTATATTTGAAAAATATAATTCTTTTTAACTTTTTAATTAGACCAAAATTAGTATGTTAAGCTGGGAACTTATCATAGGTCAAAATAAGTTAAAAATTATCACACATTTATAAATTAGTTCATACTTAGTTATCAAATTTTTTATTTAACCTTTGGATTAGGTCATATTGAGATGATTACTCTGACAGTTGGTAGGTGTTTTCCCTTCGTGATCTAATTATTATTTATAGTGGTCCTTTCATTATTGGAGCCAAAATATAGGGTGTGAAAATGGGAAACTAATGGAAAACGAAGAACAAGGGAAAAATGAGGAAAGTTGGTGCTACTCATTTTCTATTTTGATCCGCCATAAAATATCACAACTATTGATAAGTGATTCACAAATTATACCAATTTCTTTTTTTTCCTTTAATTGTGATTTTATTCCCTTATTCTTTCTAAATTTTAATGTCACTTTATTTATTTTATGAAATGATGATTATAAATTTCATTATTTCAATGATTAACGTATATTTGCAATTCATTTCATATTCATACATATATTGTTTAAAAGGATATATGATTTCAAAGAGTTCATTTCAAAATTAGTTACAATTTTTTTTTATTTTTTTATACTACAAGAAAATGATTAATTACCGACAAATTTAAAGTCGTTGATAAGTGAGTGATGACCGATAGAGGATATAAAGTATTAGTGGAATTTTGTCTTACCGACGGATATATTCGTTGGTAATTTAATAATTAAATATCGACAGTACTTAGCCATCAAATGTTCATAGGTTGAGCGAAAATTGTTGTGGATTAAATTACCGACGGATATATCCATCGGTAAGTTAGTCAACATTTTATTTATCCATAGGTAATTTGGTTGAGTCTAGGAACAAAAATATTGGAGAACAGGGAGACTCCTTTTCATACTCACTGTTGCTCCCAACTCCAGATCCCCCGCACACAACCAAAACCTTTTTTGCACACGGCCACAACCACCTCCTTCGCACAATACCTCATCCCCTCACCTAGCCACCCTGCGCCACCAAATCCCATGACCAGCACTTTCTCCTCCCATCAGCCAGTCCCAAATTGAGTCTCCCTCACCCTCATCTCGCCTTACCCATCTCATCTTCCTCAGATCACCTTTGCAACGCCCCAAACCCTAGCTAGCCCTGCCCAAGTCGCGCGGTGCTTCACGCCACCCATCTTGCTGCCCAAGCCGCGCGGCGCTTCACGCCACCCTAAAATGCCAATACGGACCTTCCTCGCTGACCTCACCCTCCCCAATCTCTCTTCTTCACATTAATCCCTTTTTTGGCCGCATAAGTCACCACCATAACCACCGCGAGCCTAAGAGAAAACCATCACCTCCACTACCTTGCCGACTATCCCATTTCCGCCGCTTCCGCAACCGCAAAAACCGCGCCCCACTAAAGCTTATTGTTGTGCATTGGTTTGACTTTTTTTTTTCTAACTTTTCATTTATTTTTATCCATAGACCCTGCTGAATTTGTGGCCTAAATTTTGTACGTTTTTATTGTTTTACAAGGAAATCCACTATTTGTCTAACCATAGAAGGGGTCATAGTAGTTGTTGTAGGGTCACGGGTAGAGAACACTTATGTAAGTTATAATTTGGTTCAGAAATAGTTTAAATGAAACATTAATATCAATTATATGACTTTGAGTAATTGGTATGTGTATTGTTGTTTGATGAAATCAACTAAGTACTAAGTGTTAGAAATGATGTGAAAATTCGAATTTCCACACTTGGGAGATTGATCCATGCCATAGTATGGGTTGTTTTGTTTCAGGGTCATTACTACTTCATTTTTTTGGTTATAGGATGTCAAATGACTTTATAATCTACTTGAGGTTTCCAATAATGTTAACAACTGTCATTAGGGCTGGAATCACTTATTTAATATAAAAATAAGTGTAGCAGTGGTAGTGAGTATACTGTAAGGTACCTATGTTTAGGTAAAATAAGGTAGTAGAAACAAGGGCATAAGTTTGTCCACAATACTGCCCACACTAATATGATTCATGCAACAATATTAACAAATCTATGAACTGTGATTTTGGTTAACAATGGTTACCAAAATGTGGTTTAGGGCTAAAACTAGTATACTTGCTTTCAAACCTAGTGTCCTGCCCCTAAGCCTTAATTCCAACAAATAAAGTGTAGTAACAATACAAATAAGCAACAAATGATCATATAGATTAATATAAGTTTGTCCTGTATCATATTATTCCTGACTATCACTTATACTACATTGAAGAGTTTTGTCCTAAATGAAATCAATGAGGGGGAGATTGATGACAATGTGAAACATGTCTTTAGATTCCCAAGAGGTGATTTTGATGATGATTCAAGTCAACAACATTCAAGACTCAAGCAAGCCCAAGATATGATTTGATAAAGATTTTATTCAAGATTCAAGCAAGCCCAAGATGATTCCTGAAGACTAGATAGAGTTTTAGAATACTGGATATGGAGGTACAAGTTGATGAAGTAATATTATACATAAGCCTCCAAAGCACAAGTGTGATAAAATTTCGTAACATGACATTTTTCACTGTCATAATCAATTATGATGCATCAGAAATGGAAAAATTATTTTCTCTGTCATAATTGATTATACTGGTAATATAATTGATTATGACAGTTCAAATTTGAAAAATATCCGTTTTGAAGAATAAATGATTTTTAATACATCCTGATTTTTTTCTCTATGAAAGTATTAATGACCAACGATTATTTTCTAATGCTATTTTTCTATTTAATTAAGTTTTGAGGGAAAATAAAAAAACACACAATTACAGAATTTGAAAATACAATTTACATTCAATCAGTTTTGAGAAAAGAATTATGAGCAAAGCAACAGAGATATTTTACATGTTTTGAGAAAACCCTTTTCTCCATTGCCACAAAGATATTTTACCAAAACCCTCTTCTTCATTGCCTACTGTGCTTTCATTGTTAATCACACTTATTCTTGGAGGTTGACATTCTACAGGCTTCTACAATTTGTTGTCTCTATTACCCAGATGTGACTGTTCTTATTTTATTACTTTCATCATTTGTGGGCTTAAGTGGTTGATTGTTAAATTCCATGTTTAGGGTTTAAGTAGTCACTGTCATTTTGTAATGTTTTTTAGGGTTTCCTGTGTGGAAATTGTTCATCCCTTTGATTTGTTTAGGGAGGTGTTTTCATCCTTTGATTTGTTCAGAGGAGGTGTTCATCCCTAGTGGGATTCTAGGGAGGTGTTCATCCTTAGTGGGATTCTAAGGAGGTGTGTTCATCCTTTGATTTGTTCAGAGGAAGTGTCCATCCCTAGTAGGATTCTAGGGAGGTGTTCATCCTTAGTGAGTTTCTAAGGAGGTGTTTGTCTTTTGAATTAGTTTGTTTTTTACTGGTTCCTCTGCTGAGTTGATTGTAATTTGTAAAGTGAATTTAAAAGATAGTGAATTGGGGTCACTCTTGTGTTAAGAGTTGACTGGGAATTGGATGTAGAGTTGGCTATACCCGAACCCGTATAAATTACTGTGTGCTTTTTCTTCCTTATACCTCTGTGATAACATCAACTTATTTTCTTCCCCTTATCTCTCTGATTATATCACTTTCGCTATATCTGTTTAATTTGATAATTAAAATTGAATTAATAAATATTAGAATCTTAAAATAAATTTTTAATTTGACATTTATTTAATTTGTGCATCTATTTACCCCCTCTAGATGCCATTTGTCTAACAAGTGGTATCAGAGCTTGCTTAGATAAGACATTTCTAAACGATCTGTCAAGATGTCTATGCAGAATCAGATTTACAAGGAAGGAGCCTTAATAAACATACTACAATTATTTGAAGGAGAAGACTATTAGTTTTGGAAGGCGAGAATGGAAATATTTTTACAAACACTAGATTACAGTATTTGGGATGTTGTACTCAACGGTCCCTACATTCCGATGAGAATAACGGAGTCTGGAGCTGTTCCAAATACTTTTGACCAATGGACGCCGGATGAAAACAAGCGTGCCCAATATGATGTAAGAGCCCGAAACGCTATTGTTTCTGCCTTAACTCGTAATGAATTTTTCAGGGTCTCACAATGCAAGACGACAAAAGAAATATGAGACACTCTTGAAGTGACACATGAAGGAACAAATAAAGTAAAGCATGCACGTAAGAATACACTCACCCAGGAGTATGAATTGTTTCAAATGCAGCAGAATGAAAGCATCACAGATTTCTAGACACGCTTCACACATATAGTAAATCACTTGAAACCATTAGAAAAGAGTTTTGACAATGAGGAGTTGAACACAAAGATCTTGGAATCCTTAGACAGGAATTGGCAACCAAAGGTCACTACTATTACAGAATCAAAGGATCTCACAGAAATGAATATTGCTACTACATTTGGAAAGCTACGAGAACATGAGATGGAACTACAAAGGTTAAATAACGGTGAACAGAACCAAACCAAGACAATAGCTCTAAAAGCAGAAAAATCTTCACAAGATAAAAGCGAAAATGAAGGTATGTTTTCAAATTCCGATATGTCTCTTTTTATTAAACAGTTTTCTCGTTTTATGAAGAATAGGAAAAAGAGACAACAAAGAAAAGAGAAAATCAATGGGTACGAATGTTATGGATGTGGAAAGCTTGGCCATATCAAATCAGATTGTCTGGAACTTAAGAAAGAGAAGAAAGATATGAAAGAGAAGAAGAAAGAGAAGAATGGTATCTATAAGAACAAACGCAAAACTTATATTGCTTGGGAGGATAATGATTCTTCCACAACACAAGAAAGTTCTTTCGAAAGCAGTGATGGAGAAGAAGAAACAAATTTTTGCTTTATGGAAAAAAGTGATGATGAAGCCTCATCACAAAGTTATCTAAGAAATACAATGCACTTAGACAAAAGTTTAATGTATTAGAAAATATTATTGGTATTCTTAAAAAAGAAAATGAGTGCTTAAAGAAAGATGTTGAGAAATTTAAAATATTGTCTGAAAATAAAGAAGTTGATAAACCTTGTGAAAATTGTAATCATTTGGAAAATGAGATTTTCAAGTAAGAGAAATTAATAAGCAAGTTTTCAAAATCTTCTGAAAATCTTGATTCTATATTAGGTTATCAAAGAGGGAATTCTAGCAAAGCTAGACTTGGTTACAAACCCAAAAAAAGTCTAGAACCTCATAAAACTATTTTTGTGAAAGAGTCAAGGAAAATATATGTGAAACCAGTTTTAAGAACTTTAAGAAATTCATTTAGACCTCTTCAAAGAAAACCAACATGTTTTTATTGCATGAAATTAGGCCATACATCAAATAGATGTTACATAAAACATTTTGGCATATCTAATGATAAATATGAATGAGTTATTAAAGGAACAAAACATTTATACATGTCTAGATGATAGTTTGAGCATCTAATAGATTATGAATTTTCGGAAAAAAAAAATTTGTTGTCATAATTATGTTGATTCTGAAGGTGTTGTGATAATCGATTATTATATCATAGTTCTATTCTTTTATCCTTAGTCTTTTGGCAGAGACTTGTGATTTTACTAATCTTCTTAAGGACCTAAAGGGTACCTAGATTTGTATGTTGATTGTCGCCGCCGTCAAAATGAGGGCGGTCGGAGCGACGCAATGGTTCCGACTTTCCAATTTTCGCGTTATTATTGGTGATTACAACTCCTTTAGGTTGTCCGATAACCGGGCTGAACCTAGAGGCGAGGTTTTCGAAAGGGTGTTCTTGGATTGTCCGATAACCGGGCTAAACCAAGAACTAGTTTTTTAAGGGTTCTCTGGAGTCATCACCGATGTTTTTACCGAAAACATCGGAAAAGAAGTTTAAAAGGCGTTGGTTTTCGAAAAACCAACTTTGGTCATTAGAACCAGAGTTGGGTAAGGGAGTTAGTTACTCGTAAAGGAAGTGTTAGTTCCTTTACGACGCCCCTTTCGGGTTCCCTATGATAGGCCAGCTACTTAAAAATAATTAAACCGGTGAAAATACGCTTTTACCCTTTTATTTGCGGAATTTTAAATTATGACTACATGACCCTAATGTCTATTGCGTAATTAAAATAAGGCAGTAAAAGATAGAGAGAGAAAGTATAAACCTCCGAAGCAAGATTTTCTATTAATTCTTTGAGTACTAGGGTGCTTTTTGGTAGCCCTCTGCTCGTTACAATGCCGAAAATGCTCAAAAAACGCTCTAGAAAACTCTCAGAAACTACAGAAATGCTTCGGAGGGGGTCTAAAGAGAGAATTTGAATAAAAGTCTAGAGAGAAGGAGGAAAAACTGTTGGAAATGAAGGGAATGTCGCTCCTATTTATAGGGATTTGCGTCTGTCAGGTTGAGACGGGTCGTCTCATCTGACAAGGTCAAGACGGCCGTCTCGCCTTGCAGGAATGGCGAGACGGTCGTCTCGCCAAACGAGATGACGGTCTCGCCATCCGCGCAAGGCGAGACGGCGGTCTTGAATCCGAGACGGCGGTCTCGTCCTTAAAAGGCGAAAATCCTTATTTTTGGGCCAAAAATCCCTCCTATCCTAGTATGGGGCCTAATAGT